AGCACTGGGGAGACAGAAACAGGTGAATCTCTGTGAGATAGAGGCCAGCTTGATTTAGTGAGTTCCAAGTCAGATGATGCTACAAGATCCTGTCTCAAAAAAAAAACATGCTGGGTGTGGTGGTCCCAGCTCTCGGGAGGCAGAGGCAGGTGGATCTTTGTGAGTTCAAGGCCAGCCTGGTCTACATAGTGAGTTCCAGGACAGCTGGGGCTACAGGGAGACCCTATCTCAAAAAGACCAAAAAAAAAATTTTTGTCCAGGCTTAAATCCCAGCACTCAAGAGGTAGAGGCAGATGGATCTCTGTGCGTTCGAGGCCAGCCTGGTCTCCATAGCAAATCCAGGTCAGCTGTGGCTATAGGGAGACTCTGCAAATTGTGAAAAGAGGCTTTGGATCCCTCAGGAGCTGGAGTTACAGGTGGTTGTGCACCACCCAACATAAGTGTTGGGAATTGAAATCTTGTCCTGTGGAAGAGTAGAACATTCTCTTAAGCACTGAACCATCTGCCCAGCCCCTTTCTTACTTTCTGAGCTATGTTTGCCCACATCCCTGCTACTCTCTCCTTAGAAGCACATCTTTCACCTTTCCTGAAATACATTCTCCACTGCTATCTCCTCTGAGGGCAGATACCCCACTGTTTGCTCAGCCATTGTCCCAGAATCTAGTCCAGGACCCAACACATTTCCTTCCTTCCTTCCTTCCTTCCTTCCTTCCTTCCTTCCTTCCTTCCTTTCTCTTTCCTTTCTCTCTCTCTCTCCCTCCCTCCCTCCCTCCCTCTTTCTCTCTTTCTTTCTTTTTCCTTTTGAGACAGGTTCTCTCTGTAGCTCTAGCTGTCCTGAACCCACTATGTAGACCAAGCAGGCCGTGAACTCACGGAGATACGCCTACCTCTGCCTCCTGAGTTCTGGAACTACAGGCAGGCACTACCATGCCTAGCCCAACACATTTCTTGAAGTTGGACTGCATTGACTAGTATATGAGTTAAGGCTTTTGGTGCATGTTAAAAAAAAATTTTAAAAAAAAAAAAAACAGACTGGGCATGGTGTGAGCAAGTCTTTAGTCCCAGCACACGGGAAGCAGAGGCAGGCAGATCTCTGTGAGTTCAAGGTCAGTCTGGTCTACATAGTGAGTTCCAGGCCAACTGGGGCTGTTACAGGGAGACTCTGTCTCAAAAAGACAAAAAAAGACAAAAAAAAAAAACTTCCAGGGGCTGGAGATAGCTCAGGGGTTAAAAGCATGTACTGCTCTTATAGAGGACCCGAGTTTTGTTTTGTTCCCAGTACCCATATCTGGTGGCTCACAGCCACTTGTAACACTGTAACACCAACTTCAGGGAACTTGATGTTCTCTTCTGTCTTCCAAGGACACCTGCACCCACGTGTATATACAAGCGCACACACGTTATTTAAAATAAAATAAATCTGAGCCGGGTGTGGTGGCGCACACCTTTAATCCCAGCACTCGGGAGGCAGAGGCAGGCGGATCTCTGTGAGTTCAAGGCCAGCCTGGTCTACATAGTGAGTTCCAGGACAGCTGGGGCTACAGGGAGACCCTGTCTCAAAAAGACCATCAACCACTTCCTAAAATAAAATAAAATAAAATAAAATAAAATAAATCTTAGGTGGGTATGGTGGTACACACCTTTAATCCCAGTACTCGGGAGGCAGAGGCAGGCAGATCTCCATGAGTAACAGGCCAGCTTGGTCTATATAGTGAGTTCCAGGCCAGCTAGGGCCATGTAGAGAGATTTTGTCTCAAAAGAACAAGCAAAACCAAAAATGAGCAGACAGACAAAAAAAAATAGAGAAAGGGGCTGGAGAGATGGCTCAGCGGTTAAGAGCACTGATTGCTCTTGCAGAGGATCCAGGTTCGATTTCTAGCACCCACATGGTGGCTACAAACCATCCTTAACTCCAGTTCCAGGAGAATCTGAAGCCCTCTTCTGACTTCCGTGGCATTGAACGACATGGGTGCACTCACATATATGCAAACAATACACTCATACACATAAAATAAAAATAATAAAATATTTTTTAAAAATAGAGAAAGAAAGATCAGAGAGATGGCTCCATGGTTAAGAACACTTACTACTGAAGCTTGGGTGTGGTGGCACACGCCTTTAGTCCCAGCACTCGGGAGGCAGAGGCAGGCAGATCTCTGTGAGTTCGAGGTCAGCCTAGTCTACATAGTGAGTTCCAGGAGACATGGAGCTATAGGGAGACTCTGTCTCAAAAGGACCAAAAAAATAAAAAATAAAAGAACACTTGCCTACTGCTCTTTCAGAGGACCTGGGTTTGGTTCCTAGGATCCCAACTAGCTAACACCCTTCATTAATTCTAGTTCCAAGAGATCTAATGCCATCTACTGGCACCAGGCAAATGTGGTACATACATACATGTAGACAAAACACTCATACATGTACAATTTTAAATTTTCAAAGAACATTTTCCGGGGGGGCGGTGAGACAGGGTCTCCCTATAGCCCTAGATAGCCTGTAACTCACTATACTATATAGACCAGACTGGCCTCAATCTCACAGAGATCCGTTTGCCTCTGTCTCCAGAGTACTGGGATTAAAGGTGTGTGTGACTACACCAGGCAGTTCCTGTTGTTTTCAAAACAAGGTCTTTCTCTTGTAGCCCAGGCTGGCCTGAAAATTATCTGGTAGCCTAGGCTGGCCTCAAATTCTTGGCCATCCTCTTGCTTCAGCCTCTTGAGTGCTGAGATCATGGGTATAAACAATCATACCCAGTTCTCTAATAGGAATTGCCTATAATTCTCCAATTTTAAAGTAATTTAAATATCTTTTCTAAAATTTTACTTATTTTTCTATTTAAAATATTTTATTTATTATTTAAATTTATTTTTATTTTATTTTTTTATGTGTATGATTGTATTGCCTGCATGTATGTGAGTGCACCCGTGCGGTGCTATGCCCCAGAGGTCAGAGGAGAGCTTCGGATTCCCCTAGAACTGGAGTTAAGGACAGTTCCTAGCCGCCATGTAGGTGCTGGGAATAGAACCCGGGTTCTCTGGAAGAGCAGTCAGTGCTCTTAACCACTAAGCCATCTCTCCAGCCCCTTATTTATTATTTTTATTTTACGTGTATGAGTGTTATGCCTGCATGTAGGTAAGTGCACCCGTGCCGTGCAACGCCCATGGAGGACAGAAGAGGCTGTTGGATCCCCTGGAACTGGAGTTACAGACAGTTGTTAGCTGCTACGTGGGTGCTGGGATTCGAACCCAGGTCTTCTTCAAGAACCGTATTCTTAACCACTGAGCCATCTCTCCAGCCCCTTTACTTGTTTTTATTTTATGTATATGAATGTATTGCCTGCATATGTGTAAGTGCACGCACGTTGAGCAATGCCCACAGACGTCAGAAGAAGGCGTTGCTGATTCCCCTGGAACTGGAGTTACATATGACTGTTAGCCACCATATGGGTGCTGGGAATCAAACTCAGGTCCAAGAACAGCCAGTGCTCTAAACTGCTGAGCCATCTCTCCAGCCCCGTAATTTAAGTATCTTTCAGTAGGAGGGTTTTTTTTTTGGGGGGGGGGCGGGGGGACAGAGTTTCATGAGCCTGTATTTTAATTAGTTTTAAGGTGGAGGTGTTTTTTTTTGGGGGGGGGGCGGGGGGACAGAGTTTCATGAGCCTCGACCGTATGTGACTAAAGCTAAAGCCTTATTTTGTTTCGATACTGGGAACAAAAACCTAGGGCCTCACACTTAAGTAGGCAAGTGCTCTACCACTAAGCTGTATTCCAAGTGTACTACAGGACTTTAGGTAAAGAAAACTTTGGTTCATTAATATACTGGAATATTATGTAGCTACTAAAGACACCGCACAAAAATACTCAATGGTGCCCGGTGTGGTGGCGCACACCTTTAATCCCAGCACTTGGGAGGCGGAGGCAAGTGGATGGATATCTGTGCGTTCGAGGCCAGCCTGGTCTACATTGTGAGTTCCAGGCCACCTGACGCCACAGGGAGACAGTCTTAAAAAAAAGACCAAAAAACAAAAACAAAAAAACCCCAACAACAACAAAAAACTCAGTGGTATGTTCATTTTATGTTAAATGGAATATTATGAGATATATACGATAGTACAATCCTACTTTTGTAAATCTACACACGAAAGACATTGGATGACTATAAACCTAAATATGAACTCTTTTTTCTATGTGGGATCCTGGGCTATCCTTTTGCTTATTTAAGAAAATTATTCAGCCAGCAGGATGGCTCAGCTGGTAAACGCGCTTGGGGTGCAAGCCTCAGTAGGTAGAGCAGGATGTGGTGGCATGCATCTATAATCCAAGCACTCCTAAGGAGAGAGAGGAGGCCAAGACAGGAGATTCCTCCAAGGGCTGGCAAACCAGCTAGCCTGGAGTACCAAGCATGGTAGAAACAAGGAGAGACCCTGCCTCCACAGATGGATGGTCCTGACTTCCAGTGTTGTGGCACGCCTGCGCGCACACGAACATATCATGCACCCACGATGATGATGATAATAATAATAATAATAATAATATAAAAAGAAAATGATCCTACAACAGAATATGCTATTTTATACCTGAAATTTTATATTTCTAGAGATTTGGGAGGTGCCAGGCTTTTTTTTTTTTTTTTTTTTTGAGACAGGGTATCCTGGTTGACCTGGAACTCTCTATGTAGACCAGGTTGGCCTCTGCCCCTCTGCCCCTGCCTCTGCGAGTGCTAGGATTAAAGGCTTGTGCCACATTGTTTTCTTACCTTGAGTGGGATTACAATCGCTTTATACATTGTTTAAGTCTTGCTTATTAAACCTTTCTCTCTTCTACCCTTTTTCACAATTTGCAAAATGTCTAACAACATGCATGAACTTATTTTTCAGTATCTTTAGACGGTCCGCGTTTCCAGAGGAGTCAGGAAGGAGCCCCTGGCTAGGCCGTGTGGACTTCAAACCCCAGAAGGGATTGCGACAAGCACTAGGGAACTACGGAAACCGAGAAGGGGGCTGGGACACCCCTGGTCCTTTCCCTCCCAGAAGCCCGCAGGAACCCCGTCGGTATCATGGCCGCAGGAGCCGGGACGGCGGGCTCCGCTTCCGGCACGGGCGTCGTGCGTGACCCGGTGGCGTCACAGCCGAGGAAACGGCCCAGCCGGGAGGGCGGGGAAGGCGCGCGGCGGTCGGACGCGATGGCGGGAGGAGGCGGGAGCGGCGGCGGCGGGCGGCCGGCGGGACGGCGGGCTTCTCGCAGCGGCGGGCGGGCTCGGCGAGGGCGCCACGAGTCGGGGCTGGGGGGCGCGGCGGAGCGAGGCGCGGGCGAAGCGCGACTGGAGGAAGCGGTCAACCGCTGGGTGCTCAAGTTCTACTTCCATGAGGCGCTGCGGGCCTTTCGGAGTAGCCGGTACGGGGACTTCAGGCAGATCCGGGACATCATGCAGGGTGAGGGCCGGCCCGGGCCGGGGGGAGGAGGAAGGGTCTGAGGCAGCCTGCGGCGGGGCCTGGAGTGACCGAGCCAACCACGTCTTCTTTTCGCAGCTTTGCTTGTCAGACCCTTGGGGAAGGAGCACACGGTGTCCCGGTTGCTGCGGGTTATGCAGTGTCTGTCGCGCATTGAAGAAGGGGAAAATTTAGGTATGGCTATCCTGTATGTGTGCGCGCTTTTCTGGGCTTCACTTGCGTAGGGTTTTGTTGTTTTCAAACTTAACATCCGGAACTGAAAGATTCCGGGTTAAAGTGCACTGCTGTTGGGCTCACGGTGGTCTTTTTGCATTCTATGGTGGATGAGTGTCGTCTCTAGATCTAGTTTTCTCCAGTTAAGATGCTCCTGACTGATTTTCTGTGGTTTTTGTTTTCTCCCACCTGTTAATTGCTCACTCAACTTTGTTGCTGAAAGTGAATTAACATTAATAAGGACACAAGTGCTCCTTAGTAGAATGCTTTTTAGAGTGTGAATACCCCTCCACACTCACCCCCTTCCAGTTGAACTGCTTAGCCAACCGTCTTCAGTTTCTTGCCATTTGTATCTGAGGAAGATGTGGTGTTCTGCAGAGTTTTAGAGGTAAATGTGTAATAATTTAGCTGTGTTGAAAAATATTGAAAAGATGGTTACTTGAAATATGTTGATTTTAGTATGGAGGCTGTATCACAAGTGCTTAAAATAAATGCAAATCTTGCTGACTGCACATGTCCATAAATACCTGAATATGTACTTTTGGACACCTTTGCTGCTCCTTAGAATAGAGCTTAAAGTGAAAACTGTGCTTTGTCCTAGACTGTTCCTTTGATATGGAGGCTGAGCTCACACCACTGGAATCAGCGATCAATGTCCTGGAAATGATTAAAACAGAATTTACATTGACAGAAGCAATGGTTGAATCCAGTAGAAAACTGGTCAAGGAGGCTGTAAGGCTCTGTTTTTTTCTTTCATTTTTTTAAACAAAAATCAGAGGGCTTTATGGATGTGGTGCTGCTTAATCTTTTCAGTGTGGGTAGAGGAAACGGGGGTGGGGGGAGATAGGGTGTTCTCTCCTCACATGTCCCCTCTCTCACCTAGGCTTAGAAGTACCCTGCTTTGTGGATTTGGTCTTTGTAGCCTGGGCATAGAGGGGCCATTTTACTGGGAAGTGGGGTGTTGAAGACTGACATTTTAGGAGTTTCTGCACTGTTCAGGAGCACTGTGAAAAGGCTACTTGATCACCATTGTCTGTATATAATTACCCCAGAAGGAATACCTGGAGCCTGGGGCAGTGTGGGACTGACTCTGAGCTCTTCATTTGTGTGCTGAAAGAAAGACTTGGAGAATACTCCCACTGTACGACCTATAATCAGAACTACAGGAATAGGAATGGCACAGATGTTCTTAAACAGAGCTAGCAGGGAAGCTAGAGAGATGGCTCAGCAGTTAAGAGCACTGACTGCTCTTTATAAGAGGACCCGGGTTCAATTCCTAGCACCCACATGGTGGCTCCAAAATGTCCTTAACTCTAGTTCCAGGGGAATCCCAAAGCCCTCTTCTGACCTCTGTGGTATTGTATGACATGGGTACACTCACATACATACAGGCAATACACTCATACAGATAAAATAAAAATAATAAATGAAATATTTAAAAAAGAAATGAACAAAAATCCCAATAAGCAACCCTTAGGAACACTCTGAAAATAGAACCAATAGATGACTCACCTATTACAGTCATTTCTTTCTGTTCTATTTGTTAGTCCTGTTTTAAATACTTGATGCGTATACCTATCAGGCATATCATAGTAGTAAATAACTAATGACTGATGATAATTAAGAATAGGAAATTTGGGGCTGGAAAGATGGCTCAGCGGTTAAGAACACTGGTTGTTCTTGCAGAAGACCCAGGTTCGAATCCCAGCACCCACATGGCAGATAACAATTGTTTGTAACTCGAGTTCCAGGGGCTCTAACAGCCTCTTCTGTCCTTTGCAGGCATTGTGTAGTCCCAGCTGTCCTGGAACTCACTATGCAGATCAGGCTGCCCTCAAACTCACAGAGATCGCCTGCCTCTGCCTCCCAAGTGGTGGGGTTACAGGTGTGCACCACCATGCCCAGCTATAAGTTTTTTGTTTTGTTTTTTTTTTTTAATTTTTTTAATTTATGTGTATGTGTTCTGTGTAAGCACACATGTATGCAGGTGCCCATGAAGTCCAGAAAAGACTGTCAGGTCCCCTGGAGGTGGAGTGGCAGGTGCTTGTGAACTGACCATTGTAGGTGCCAGGAACTGAACTCTGGTTCTCTGGAAGAGCAGCAGGTATTCTTAACTGCTGAGCCATTTCTTCAGGTCCCAGATTTCCTATTTTACAGCTTTGTTAGTAATATTCGGCAGCAAAATCTAAAATCCCTTGAAATAGCATTTTCTTATGTTCACTTTCTTAGGCTTTTCAGCTCTGCCAGGTTCTAGATGTCTTAAACTCACTATGTTACTGATTTTTGGAGGCGAGGTAGGGATAAGTAAGTCATCTCCAGCCCTGGTTGGTCTGGAACTCATTGTGTAGCACAGACTGGCCTGGATCCTACTGTTACCCTCCTTCTGCCTCCTAGTACTGAGATTACAGGAACGTACCTCCAAACCACTGGATTTTTGGGGGGTGGAGGCAAAATCAGAGATAAAAGGAATTTTCACTGAACTCTTGTTAGCCTTTTGAATTTTGTATTATGTACACATATTACCTCTTCAAATGATAAAACTTAGCTGGGCATGGTGGTTGGTGTACCCTTTAATCCCAGCACTCTGGAGGCAGAGGCAAGAAGATCTCTGGGTTCTAGGCCAACCAAGGCTACCTATCTGTTTTTTTGGAGGGGGGGGTGTGTCTCTATGGTATTGGACTTCACACATGCTAGGCAAACACTCCACCACTGAGCTATAGTAACAACCCTTAACTGTATTACTGGTACTTCAGTGTCACAAATTAAGACTTAGCAGTTTAGGGGCTGGAGAGATGGGTCAGCGGTTAAGAGCACTGACTGCTCTAGAGGAGGACCCAGGTTCGATTCCCAGCACCCACATGGTAGCTACGAACCGTCCTTAACTACAGTTCCAGGGGAATCTGAAGCCCTCTTCTGATCTCTGCAGCATTGTATGACATGGATGCACTCAAACATGCAGGCAATACACTCGTACACATAAAATAAAAATAATAAAATATTTTAAAAAAAAAAAAGAGACTTAGCAGTTTAAAAAAAATTAATATTAGCTTTCCATTTCCAAAGGTCAAGACTCAACAGTGCTAGGCATGATGACACTCAGCTGAAATTTCAGTACTCAGTAGGCTGTGGCAGGAGGATCTTGAATTGGAAGCCATTCTCAACTACATATCAAGACCTTGTCTGGAATCAGAAGGATCTGATCCACACCCTAGCGTGACTGTTAGCTAAACTCATGCATGAGACCAGCTCTACTACAGTTTGAAAATGGAGTTAGTTATGCAGCAAGTGGGATCAGAGAAGACTTTGGGAGGGGGCAGGGGCTTTTTGAGACAGGGTCTCCCTATAGCCCCACTGACCTGGAACTCGCTATGTAAACCGGGCTGGCTTCCAACTTACATCATCCACCTGCCTCTGCCTCCCAAGTGCTGAGATCAAAGGTGTGGGCCACCAGGCCCTGCTAGTGAAGACTTTATTAGAGATAGGCATCGAAGTTGCTTTAATCTTCTAGTTATGAAATACTTTTTTTGTTTTTTTTGAGACAGGGTATCCCTGGAGCCCAAGCTGTCCTGGAACTCACTATGTAGACCAGGCTGGCCTTGAACTCACAGACATCTGCCTGCCTCTGCCTCCCAAGAGTGCTGGGATTAAAGGCATGTGCTACCACGCCTGGCTTGGAGAACAAATTCTATTGCGTGTTCTTGGAGAAGCTTTAAAAGTTTTTTGTTGGGCTGCTGAGGTGATTTAGCAGGTAAAGAAAGATACTTGCCACCAGCCCGACAAACTGATTTCAATCCCTAGAGCCCCACAGAGTTCTAAGAGGGAAAGAACCAACTCCCACAAGCTGTCCCCAGGCTGCTACACCCACACCATGGCACATCCACTTGTGTGTGTATGCACAAAACAAATGTAAGTTTTTGGGTTTTCTTTTTTTGTTGTTTTGTTTTGTCTGTTTGAGACAGTCTCCCTGCAGCCCCAGCTGGTCTGGAACTCACTATGTAGACCAGCCTGGCCTTGAACTCACAGAGATCTGCCTGCCTCTGCCTCCAGAGTGCTGGGATTAGAGGCATGTGCCACCATGTCCAACTAATGTAAGTTTTTTTTTTTGTTTTTTGAGTTTTTTAAATTTTTATTTTATGGGTATGCATGTGTTGCCTGCACGTATGTAAGTGCACCCATGTCATGCAATGGCTGCAGAGGACAGATGAGGTCGTTGGATCCACCCGGAACTGGAATTACAGACAGCTGCCATGTGGGTGCTGAGATTTGAACTTGGGTCTTCTGCAATAACAGTGTTCTTAACCATTGAGTCATCTCTCTGGCCACAAATGTGTTTTTTTTTTCAAGTTACTTTTTGCTTTATAAATCGATTTCTTGCAACTATTTTGTTGTTGTTGTTGCTTTTTGGAATGTTGGTGCATCAAACACACCCAGAACTGTAATTCTTTGTTTTGTTTATTTGCTCTCTTGAAATGGTCTCATGGCATAACGGCTCAGGGTAGCCTTGAATTCTTGGCAACCCTCCTGCTTCAGCATCCTGAGTGCTAAGATTACAATTGTTAGCCACCATGCCTCACTAGAATTTTTATTTTTTATTTTTTTAAATTTTTGTAATTTTTTTTGTCTTTTTGAGACATGGTCTCCCTGTAGCCTCAGCCAGCCTGGAACTCACTACATAGAACAGGCTGGCCTTGAACTCACAGAGATCTGCCTGCCTCTGCCTCCTAAGTGCTCAGATTAAAGGTGTGTACCACCATGCCCGGCTGAAGTTTTATTTTTTTAATTTATTTCAAGGCAGTCTCCCTGGGTAATCCTGCCTGGTTTAGAACTCACGATGACTATGTAAACTAGGATGGCCTCAAACATAGCAGTCCTCCTGCCTCTGCCGCCACTGATTGGTTGAAGTTACAGGTATATATTACCATTCCTTCCTGTAAATGTTTTAATATTAAACATCTTTTTTTGTTGTTTTTGTTTTTCTTGCACTTGCTTCATTTTTTATGTGATTCTGATCTTGCAAACTGTTTCTGCGCATGAAGGTACTTTCTAAAAGTTTTATTTTATTTTATTTTTTTATTTTTTTTGTCCTTTTTGAGACAGTCTCCCTGTAGCCCCAGCTGGCCTGGAACTTGAAATGTAGAACAGGGTGACCTCGATCTCTCAGAGAGCCTGCCTGTGCCTCCCGATTGCTAGGATTGAAGGCGTGTACCACCATGCCCAGCAAAATTTTTTTAATTCTTTTTTTTAATATTTATTTATTTTATTTATTTATTTATTTATTTATTTATTTTTTGGTCTTTTTGACACAGGGTCTCCCTGTAGCCCCAGCTGTCCTGGAACTCACTATATAGACCAGGCTGGCCTTGAACTTACAGAGATCCTCCTGCCTCTGCCTCCTGGATGCTGGGACTAAAGGCGTGCGCCACCACACCCAGCCTTTATTATTTATTTTATGTGTATTCATGTATTATTGCCTGAATGTAGGTAAATGCACCCGTATCATACAATGCCTGCAGAGGTCAAGGGAGGCTGTCAGATCCTTTGGAACTGGAGTTACCGACAGTTGTTAGCTGCCATGTGGGTGCTGGGATTAGAACCCAGGTCTTATGCAAGAACAACCAGTGTTCTTAACCGCTGAGCCATCTTTCCTGCCCCTAAAATTCATTTTTACAGGTCGGGTGTGGTGGTTGACTACATAATGTTGCACTTTCTGCAATTTGAAGAAACTGCTACCT